TCTCCCACATTCTCCAGAAAAGAACATGGCTCACCTACCCCTTGTGTTGACCTTATGAAACTCTAAGCAGAGAAAGAGAAGACATATGATCTTTGGCCTCAGTGCAATAGAAACATATAGTTTTAAGCCTCTAAATGTGTGGTAATTTGTGAGAGCAGTAATGGAAAATTATACGCATAGCTACACAACTTGATGTATTGGTCAAGTGCCCTATGACAGCAGGCTACTACCAAAACAGTGATTTTACTGCAAATAAACTTTGAAAGGAAAAAGTAAATTCTTGCTTTTAAACATGATAACTATGGACAAAAAGAAAAGCTGAAGCTATATTTCAACCTGGCAACTTAGGCTTGGGATTTGGCCTCTGTCCTAGCCCTGCTTCCCCTCCCATTTCCCAGAACTAATCTCACCTGGAACTAAGGCGACATCCCATGCTATTGATCAACACACAAGTTGTCGCTGATGTTTTTGTTCTGGTTCTCTAACAGATCAGAACTTATGTTGCCTCAGGAAGAAGCAAGACTTGCTTTCCCAGGACTGAACACAACAGGAAAACCCTATATGAAGAAACTGACATGTGAAAGTTCACTCCAAAGAACCTTACTGGCAACACTCTGAAAAGTTTCCATCAATACAGAGGCATCAAAACCAATAGGTAATGGATGACTGATCAGCATTTTTCAAAGCTAATGGAGGAGTACAAGAAATGCTGTAAATCCATAATTTTCCTCTGAAGAATTAATGTCAAGTCCCTTTTCTAATGACTTGTACACCCCCACCCTCCATTTCTGTTCACCCCTAGTATCATCAGCTCTCCTAATTTGAAACAAAGCTGAATGTGCTTCTTTCCCAGTTTTCTTACATCATTAAGTATAGTATATGATGTCTTAAAAGGCCTGCTCAAAGGAATAACACTTCTCTTTAAAACTGTCTTTTAATTACTCCCTACAGTCTTTGGCCACATAAAAATACATTAAATATACCAAAGTAAAGATTTCTAGACTCAACAGAGATCAATAAATATTTATTACATACCTCCTATGGGCAACGCCCTGGGAAGTACAAAGAAGATCCTGTCTTAACCCAGGGCTTACGATACCATTAGACAAAAGAGCAAAGCTAATAATGATGTATGGCAAACATCTTGAAAATATATGAAATAAATATTACAGGAGTTCCACTGGGGCAGAAATTGTGGGTGGGCAGACAGGGAAGGAAAGCTTTGTGCAAGAGCTGAAAAGGATGCAAGAATGATGAGGATGATTCCTCCAAGACAGAACATTTTCTTAAATACAGAAATCTGGAAACTGCACCTGCAAAATCTCCCTCTTAAGATAAATCTCCATAAGAATTGGACAGAACTTCAAAGGGACAAAAATGACCCCAGTTTCAAAAACACAAAATATGTCTGGGATTCTATATTCAGACTAACAGTTAACCCCATCAAAATTCACTCTTTCATCTCTTGGGAAAGAAAGTGAGTGACATTTCGGGAGAGTTCTAGAGTTTCTTTGTCACTCCTATGAGCAAGCAAGCAAGAGAACGTCCATCTAGGGCAGTCTCTACCTGCAACTGGCTACTTGGTGCAGTTCCAGCTGAATTGACTAGGGAGCCATTCTATTCAGCATCTAAAGCATGATACACAAGCTGCCAGAACTAAAATTTCCTTTAGTTATTAATTAGGGGTGGGAAGGGTCCTAGCACAAGCCAGTCCAAGTCCCAGCATCTTCTAGCATCTGGCAATATTCTGTATGCACTCAACAGAAGATGTGTAAAAGAAAGTTCACAGCAGCACTATCCTGACTAGCCCCAAAGCGGAAACTATCCAAATATGCAACAGTTAATGCATAAATAAACCGTGGTATGTGCAGATCATGGGACACCACAGAACAATGAGAAAGAACAAACTGCTGCCACACAGCACAGTATGGATGAATCTGGCGAGCAGAACACTGAACACAGGCAGTCCTACACAAAGTCAATGTGCTGTATGGTTTTAAATGCATGAGGTTTTATTAAACAAAACAAAACAAGGCGATCTAAGCTATGACATAAGTCAGAAGTGGTTACACTGAGGCAGGGGAAGTTAACCACAAGAAGGGACACTAGGGGGAATTCTGGGGTCCAGAAAAATGTTTACTTTATAAAAACTCATCAAGCTATACATTTATGATAACACTTTTCCATATGAATGCTTTAATTTTAAAACTGAGAACTCTGTTATATTAAAAAGGATTATGGGGGCCTACCTGGTGGCACAAGGGGTTAAGTACCGCTCTATGAAGCAATCCACAGCCTCTGCAGGATGAATTTGATCCCCGGCCAGCCAGGGAGCTATCAGCACGGCGCAGCAGACCTCTCCTGACTCACCCACTGCTCCCCCTCAGCAGTGTATTTCAGTCAGTCTGCCTGTTCTGTTCCCCGCTCTATCTCTGGTGAATCCTCTCACCTCCTGCATCTCTGTCCTGTACCCCAGCTCTTGTATGCATAAATAAATAAATCTTAAAAAAAATAAAATAGGGCCTCCCTGGTGGCGCAAGGGGTTAAGCACCACACTATGAAGCAATCCACAGCCTCTGCAGCTCAAGATCGATCCCTGGACTGCCAGGGAGAAACCCACATGGCACAGCAGACCTCTCCTGTCTCACCCACTGCTCCCCTCAGCAGTGCATTTCAGTCAGTCTGCCTGTTCTGTTCCCCACTCTGTCTCTGGTGAATCCTCTCACCCTCCGCATCTCTGGCCTGTGCCCCAGCTCTTGTATGCATAAATAAATAAATCTTTTTAAAAAATAAAAAATAAATTAAAAAGATTATGGTAAGATAAAATTTTTACTTTCCAGTTGAAGAGCTACATGTGATTTACCATTCACAGATCTTTGTTTAAATTATTTTCTATGCTGAAGTTGTCTTATTTGAGCAATAACATGTATATTTAGATGACAAATATATAGTCACAGTAAAATCACAATATTAAAGGAGGATTACCCTAAAATTAAGGATCCCTACTTGCACACAGATCAAAGAGGATTTTATTTGTTACTCTACCACATCAGTCTTGGCATATCACTCTCAGAAGAGGAGAAAAGAGGTGGAGGAGGAAGAAGAGGGGGCAGAAGACTTTTCTTTGAAACCTTATGGGGGAGGGAGTGGGGTCACTAGAACATGTGCTAGCGCTGTACAACTATTTGTTTAAAAATTGTTGCAAGACAAGGGGCAAGGACTAAATGTCCCCAGCAGCTCCCACTCTATTTAAACCACCTGGCTCAGGAAATGGCAAAGCAGACTGTGGGCTGATCCCAGCTGAGAGGTGTAACCCTAACAAGCCCTGCCTATGTCACCATGCATTACCTGCCATTACCTACATGCTTTCCTTTCTTATCAATATTCCTAGCACACCTCTCTACAAGTTAACAACAACCAGAGAGAAAACCCTTTCTTGCCCTCAAAGTTCAGCTCTCAAAATGAACACCCATCCGCATAGCTTTGGAAGGTCAAGGTTTTTTCCAGGTGGCCAGTGAAAATGGAGAGTGCAGGGAGGGTCCCAGTGGGGAGCTGCCTTCTGAAAGGAAGTGCAAAAAGAAGCCCCGAGGCCAGAGGCTTGTTTTGATTCCACACCAGCCCAGAGTACCCGCCAGCCCTACAGCCGGCTGGTCCCTGGGGCCCTTCCAAGGACTGCAGCACAATCTTGGCGACAAGGCCGGGAACAGCTCAGGCCGGCAAACCTCGGCCTAAGGTGCTTCAGAACTCCAAGAGACCCTCAATAAATTGTCACCTGTCAATCACTTGACCTAAATACACCAGCCACTGGGGAAATGGGAGGGAGGGGGTTCGTTGGAGCATGCTCAGTGATGGAGATGACATCACTTAATCAATCCTGGGGCCGGGAAGGCTGCATCAGCAGCCTCGAGCGCTGCCAGGAACGTGTCAGCGGGGATCGGGAGGCTCCCATTAACTTGGTCCCTCCCCACGCGATTCGCATACAAAGAGGGCACCGTCAGCTACACACGCTGGGGACAGCGGTGGGGGAAGGGAGGGTGGAAAGACTGGTTTATTTCATTTGACATAATGCCTTTACCAACTAAAATTCAATGTTCCCTGCCTCCGCCGGCAGCCCTGGCTGCTGCCCTCCCTGCAGAAAGGGAGGAGGGGAAAGGTGGAAAAGAAGATCAAGAGGGAGGGGGACCCGAGACACACAAAGTAACTTCTACTCTTGGCACACAGAGGCCTAGGTGGTTGCGCTCTGAGCCTCCCGGCCCCACAGACATGGGCACACTGCCTTCTCTCACCCAACGCGAAACATCCTAGGGGTTGCTGACACCAGGGCGCGCGGGGGGAGGGTGTCGCCCCCCTGGGCAGGCAGAGTTGAGAGGATGCAGGAGACACACCAGGCCTCCCGGGGTCACCACCCCCCACCCCCCCCACCCCCCCCACCCCCGCCTTCCACGCGCAAAGCAAGGTGAAACCCTAGATGAGCCGCGTCTACACCGCCGTGGGGGGTCCGAACCGAGGCTAGGAATTTTCCAGCACCTTTTTCTTCCTGTTTTACTAAAAGGAAGATGGTTGAGAAGTGACAAAAGTGTTCGAAAAATCGAACCGAAGATTGGAATCATTTGCAAATTGCAGAGCTCACACTCCAAGCAGAGAACGGGCGTCCCGACTTGAGGACAAGCAGAACACACCACCCACGCGGCGTGGCCAGGGCGGGGAACAATAGGCCCACCCGGGCCCCCACCCCGCGAACAATGGCGGCGCCAAACCCTTCCTCGACCCCCACCCCCACCTTCGCCATCAGGGCCCGCCCTGCCGCCCCCAGTCCACCCTCACCGCCCAGGAGGAAGCTGCAAGGCGGAGGTGGGGGGTGAGGGGGTCTCGACGAGTCCACCCCACAGGGCAGCCCCGCGCGGATGTCCGAAGGGGCGGCCGGAGCAGAGGTGCTCGGTCTGGGCTGTCGGGGCGCAGGCTGCAGCGCGAAAGAGGAGGCCAGACGCCAGGCCACTTACCCCAATCACCACGGTCTCATCGCCTTTGAATTTGGGGATGAATTTGTCCCCGCGGAGGATCTCCGCTTCATTGAGGGGCCGGAACCGGCACATCACTTTGATGCTGCATTCAGCAGGATCCGCCATCTCCACCCGCAGCAGGGAGGGGGCGCGGGGATGGGTGGGGGGCCGGGGCTGTGCACCACGGAGGAGGAGGCCGCGCACCGCACCGACCGCTGCGAGGCCACCTCCCGCAGCCTCCGAAGGCGCTGCTCAGCAGGTCATCGCAAACTCGGCGGGCTGGGCAGCTCCGGTCGCTGCCGAGACCCGTAGGTGGGGGGCCTACTCGCCCTCGGGCCGCCGGCTGCAGACCTGCCTCCCCTGGCCCCGCTCGGCGCCCCCGGCCCGCCGGCCCGCGACCACGCGGCGGGTGGACAAGGCGATGCGCAGGGAGCGAGCCTCGCCGGGCTCAGACCTCCCGGGTGCCTGCGCGCTCAGCCATCCTGCATCAGCACCAGCGCGCCCCGCCGCCGCCCCGCCCCGCCCCGCCCCCAGCCCAGCCCCGCCCCCAGCCCCGCCCCCCCGCCAGCCCCGGGACGGTGGCGTCACTGCGGAGGTCGCCCCGCCCTTGCTCTGGTTCTGAGCGTGGCGCATCCCGGGACTTGTAGTCGCTCCACCTGGAGGTAGGACGCGCATTTCTTGGGGTGGGTTTCCAGAACAGCGGTGGCACCCCCTGGGTGCCCTTCCAGGGGGTTTTGTGTGACTGTCCAAGCCAAGGACATGATGAAAGTCATATCCAAAATTCTGTATTAGTGACTAGGTCTGTATCATCATCTCTTTACATCTTTTCTTGATCCCAAAGATTAACACTTGTTGAAACAGTGTCCCACTGAGCGGTTACTGAGCATTTTCTCTGCGTTGAACAGTTTAGTAAGAATTGTGGAGAAATTAGGAAGTTGGGTGGGGATGAGCTTTGCATGAATATTTGAAGCCAGTTATACTCCAAAGTGCCTGTACATAGATAGTAGTTCATAACATATTTTAGGTCATGGATTCCTTTTATAGCTGATGAAAGGTACAGCCCTAGTACAAACCCATACACACCCACAAATTTTGAATGTCATTTGAGAGTGGGGAACAACTTAATCCCTGGAACTAACAGTTCAAAAACCTCTTGTTACTATTTATTGTAATACCATTAACAGATAACCTTAGTCTAATGCCTACTAAAAATCCTGTATATGAATAGATACAGATCAAGTACAAAAGTTCATAACAAAATTCACCAGGCCATGTGATCAGATTTCCTCCTATATATTAATCTCATCTTATTCCACTTCTTGTCTAAAAGTTTACATGTTACAAGTATACTATCTGTGGCTTCACCCACTGACAACTTGCTGTTTGCTTCTGATACTTTGTTTAAGCACATCCATGCCTTGTTACTAAGTAAGTGTGTTAGGGCTGTTATGGTAGAAAATGTGGGAATCTACCTTGAGGCACTGAAGCAAAAGGAGATTTATCAGAAGAATATATGTTTATCTTACTTATTTAAGAAATGATGAAACACTGGGCCAGGTAACAGGTAGGATACTTCTGGTCCCTGTGTTATCCTTACTCTATCATTCAAGATCATCCCTCCCAATATCAGAAAGCCCAGCTGCCCACTAATGCCTAATGTCTCACTCTCACATTAGATAAGGATAGATGTTTGTTGAGTTTTTCTTTCAAAAATTCTAGGTAACATCTATATTGATTTGGGTTTATGTTGGGATCCACTCCTAGACCACTCAACTAGAGTCAGGACTTTGTAAGATCGTGGAAGAATCTCACAGTGGGAAGGTTCCTAAGAGAAGAGGGATGTAATTCCCAGTAGGACGAGGTACTGGGCTGGCAGAACGATTGGATGTTCACTGTCCCTTTCCATTGCTACCTCATCCTTGAAGGCTCAGTTCAACTCTCCCTCCTGAGGAATACTTGCCTGACTCTCACATTGGGTCAGCAATCTTCCTATCCTCTCAATCTCCTCTGTACAAGCACTGTACTTCCATGAGCAATGACATCTACTTCATCTCTGTATCTCAAGAAATCCAAGTTGGGGCCTCCCTGGTGGTGCAAGGGCTTAAGACGCAACCTATGAATCTATCCGCAGCCTCTGCAGCACGAGTTCAATCCCTGGCTAGGGAGCTGCCCACATGGCGCAGCAGACCTCTCCTGACTCACCCACTGCTCCCCTCAGCAGTGTATTTCACTCAGTTTGCCTGTTCTGTTCCCTGCTCTGTCTCTGGTGAATCCTCTTACCCCCCACACTTCAGGCCTGTACCCAGTTCTTGTATGCATAATAAATAAATCTTTACAAAAAGAAAAAAGAAATCCAAGTCAGAGGAAAGCTCTGTCTGAGTGAGAATCCCAGTGTGGTCACTTACTAGTACAGGACCCATGGCAAGACTCACTTTCCTCATCTCTAGCATCAGAATAACATCTCATATGGCACCATTGTCAAGGGGGCACTCACCTACAGTCTAATTTTACTCTAAATATAAACTTTAATAAATTCACCCAAAGTATTAGTAATAAAAAAAAAGAATAAGGTCTCATATAATGTTTGAGGGAATTGAAAGAAGTAATTAAATTTAAAATTTAAAGCACCTAACATGGTGCCTGACATTGTATATAAACCCTTGAATGTCAAATATTATTACTGTCATTATTATTATTATTATTATTATTATTATTATTATTAAATGTTGAACAAATTATAGGATAACAATAAATCTTTTGGGTAATTTTAGGAACATTTGCTTACATTTAGCTTACATTCAAATATACTTGGGAATACAAGTTCTCTGTCTAGCTGAGAAGACAGACCTACTAAAATCAACTTTTCCACACCATTGTGAACAGTACCAAATTGATTTCCTGTCCTCAGATGTAGTGGAAAGTAGGCTTAAGCAAGCCCAAGTGCTACTTCCTTTTAAAAAAAAAAATTTATTTTTATTTATTTATACAAGCACTGGGTACAGTCAGAAGCGTGGGAGGGTGAGAGAATTCACCAGAGCCAGAGCGGGGAGCAGAGCAGGCAGAAGGACCGAAGTACACTGCTGAGGGGAGCAGCGGGCGGCAGGAGAGGTCTGCGTGCCATGTGGGACCCTCCTCCGGTGGCCAGGGAGCAGCCAGGGATCGAACCGGTGCTGCAGAGGCTGCGGGCAGCTTCCCAACCCAGCGCTCAACAGATGCACCACCAGGGAGGCCCCCAAGTGCTACTTTCTCATCTGTTTTCACTCTAGTCATTCTCAGGCTCTGACTCAGCTACCCATCATCTTCAGTGGTCAATATCATTACATACCAGAGAGGCCATCCCAATTTCTGAGCTCATCAGGACATACCCAGAGCCTCATAATACTGGTTTGTCTAAGGAGGTCAGACCATAGATATCCTGGGGTAGGTAGGGACCAGCCTGTGTGTCCCTGGATTCACACTTCATTGATTTGTTCATCTATCCATCCATCAAATACTAGCTGAGCAGTGACATTTGCTGCCACTGCATAATCTTAAATTCATTAAGTGAACTCTCTTCAAGGGCACTAATATAGCTCATGCCCTCCCTACTTGAAGGGAGGTTCAAAATAAGTCATTTCCCTCAGGCAATTTAGAAACAAATGAGAGTACAGAGAAAAGCTGTTCAGCAGTGGTCAAGAAAGCTCAGTTGAAGATATGAGCTAGGAAGGTTTCCAAAAAAGGTGGGGGGCACAGAGAACAAAGGAGAAATTAAATTAACAACATCAAAATGATAAACTTTTATGCCTCAGAGGATATGATCAACAGGGTAAAAGACAATTCACTGAATGGGAAAAGTATTTACAAATCATATATCTGATAAGGGATTGATATGACAAATATATGAAGACTCCTACAAATCAACAACAACAGAATATAATTTAATATAAGCAAAGGGGGGCTCCCTGTTGGTGCAGGGGTTAAAGACACAGCGCTATCAAGCTATCGCCAGCCACTGCAGCATGAGTTCCATCCCCAAGCAGGCCAGGCAGCAACCCACATGGCACAGCAGACCACTCCTATCTCACCCACTGCTCCCATCAGCAGTGTGTTTCAAAAGGTCTGCCTGTTCTGCTCCCCACTCTCTCTGCTGAATCCTCTCACCCCCCACACCTCTGATGTACACCCCAGTTCTTGTATGCATAAATAAAAAAATAAACATTGAAAAAATAAAAATAAGCAAAGGACTTGAATAGACATTTCTCCAAGTAAGGTATACAGAAAACCAATAAGTACATGAAAAGCTGCTCTACATCACTATTAAGAAATGCAAATCAAAACCATAATGAGATACCACTTCGCACATCCATGAGGATGGCTATATCAAAAATACCCAAAAAATAAAAACACTAAGGAGATGTGAGAAATTAAAACTCTTGTGCACTGTTGGTAGGATTGTAAAATCGTACAGCTGCTATAGAAAACAGTAGAGCAGTTCCTAAGAAATTAAAAATAGATTACCATATTCCACTTCTGGATATATATACTCCAAGAATTGAAATCAGGAACTCAGTTACTTATATATCCATGGTCATAGCAGCATTATTTTCAATAGCTATAATATGAAGAGCTAAACATTCATATGTAGATGAAAGTACCAATAGAATGTGGCAAATACGTACAATGGAATACTGTTTAGCCCTTAAAGGAAAGAAATGACACATGTTAGAACATGGATGAACCTTGAGGATACTATGCTAAGTGAAATAAACAGGCACAAATGCATTGCTATTGTATGAATTATTCCATTTATATGATGTACCTGGAGTATCAAATTCACAGAGACAAAAAGAATGGTGGCTCCCAGCAGCTTAGGGAAGGGGGTTGTGGGTATTATTAGGAAGATAAAAAATATTCTGGAAATAGGTGTTGGTGACGATTGCATAATAATGTGAATGTACTTAATAATCTGGACTGTACATTTAAAAATGATCAGAATGGTCAATTTGATATAAATTTACAAGATATAAATTTTATGCTATTGTGCTATATTTTACCATAGCTCTAAATGCATAGGACCCCTTGTGCATGGTTGTTGGCATTGTAAATTGTAAATTGGTACAGCCACTATGGAAAACAGTTTACAGTTTCCTTAAAGATCTAAATTAGAACTACTGTATGATCCAGCA